TTTCAGACGTTTCAGGACCCAAGCTAGGTACCATCAGTGCTCTGGGTAACTTGAACTGCTGTCTCCTTTTCAGGTGGATGTCCACATAACACCTGGGACCCATGCTTCTGAGCATGCAGGTAATGTTTTTATGTTTCATGTTCAGCACACATTTTGAGAAGGTTGTGTTGAGGATGTTCAGCTACTCAGATGCAAAGCAAAAAAGGTGCTTCAGAGAGGATTCAGATGCTTTTACTGCCCCTTTAAAAAAGTGCCCTTTTCTCCTACAGTCCCCTTCCCACACACACACTCTCTTGTCACCCTCTGCTAGCAGGACAGATTCCTTTCCAAGAGATGTTTCGGGTTATTGGTTCTTTAATGCCCATTTAGTTATCTTAAATGCTTTAATATGCATCCTGTTTTAATTTATGTTCTACCTTCATATTGTATCTTTTTTGTTGTTGTTGCAAAAATAAGTGTCATATATTTGAGTCTCTCTGAGGCAAAATCCCCACATTTGTACTGTTCATATGTTAAACATAAGTTGGTAAACATTATTTTGTTGGTTTGGGGAGGAAATGGGAGTTCATAAACTGCTTCTTTGCTGGTTGTCTCTTAGCTAGACAACAAATCTAACTAAAATTATATCTGGACTGCTTTTCCACAGTAAACAAGCAACTTGCTGACAAAGAGAGAGTCGCAGCTGCCTTAGAGAACATGCACTTGCTCCAGGTGGTAAACCAGTGCTTGTCGGGACGATCTTAGTGTCTGTGTGTCTCTGAGAACATCTTCAAGGTCTGGTGGAGGCTGGCTTCTTGGTGAAAAAAAGGTCTTTTGTCCTCTGTTGGAGTAAAAAAATGTAGTTCCTTAGCAAAAAGGCCATTTAAATTGGGTTGGGGATAAACGTGGTTCTGAAATATTCCATTTGAATAGAGGAATGTGCTTGTAATAATTAACAGAAGCCTTACACCTTCCTAGTCAAATGGGTCTATTTTTGAAAACCTCCAGTGATGGAGCCCCCACAACCCAGGAAGGCAATTCCATTAATTGTTCTCACTGCCAATAAATTTCTGCTAGGTTGGATCTCCCTTTAACAAGATTCCACCTATTACTATCCTGTTTCCCTGAAAGCTGAGAGCTCTTTTCGCCATCTCCCCTGCTTCCTTGCTTCCCATGGCTTCTTGTTGCTCTTTGCAGCATCCCTCTCCTTTCTCCACTTCCCACTCATTCTTCCTGGGTCTGGAACAACTCAGCCCTTCATCTGATTCTGTTCCAGAGCACCAACATAAGAGGGTGGGGCACCCTAGAAAAGTGTGAGGCTAATGGACTAAAGGCAAACAGCGCATGCCCAGAGGCCATCTACATATTTGTAAAATGTGTCATTCATATATATATATATACATACATACACACACACACACACACA